CCTTGGCTATCCAGTTAGCTGTTTCTCTGTGACAGTGATGCTACATTCACGTAATGTCCGCAGACTGGGAAGTACAGGAAGAACTGGTGTTCTCGCATGTTACTCTGCTAGTCTTGTAGTGACGTAACTAATAGCCTAAATAAACTGCTTTTGCGGTGTTACATATTTGAAGCATTTCGTTTGTCAAGTGAAAGCAGATACAAACAAGCTGAATCGACAGTATTGGTTTGCGTATTGGATTTTAACTGCCAGCGATGGTGTTGTGGTTTTTTTCACCAAATGGGAGATGTTGTAGTTGCCACAAATTCCTGAAATCTCCAACTTTGAATTACAACTTAGAGGCTGACTATTTAAATTACTTTTATGTAGGTGATTATGTTCTCAACCATATGACGTCAACGCGGCGTGTGATAAAGCTGGGAGCCTAAAGATTACCAAACCAGATTCTGGTCTTACTTTTGACCAAATATGGTAAATGGACTTGTAGTTGTATAGCGCTTTTCTAGTCTTCCGACCACTCAAAGTGCTTTCACACTACTTGTTATCATTCACACCATTCATACACCGTACGGCGTACGCACAGCTACAGGAGCAAGTTGGGGTTTAGTGTCTCTTGCCCAAAGACACGTCAACATGTGGAGCCGGGGATCGAACCGCCGATCCTCTGATTGAAGGACGACCCTGCTCTACTGCTGAGCCTCAGTCGCAATACATGTTTGTTTGAGCTTTGTACAACAGTATGACTGTTGCAATGAATAAACCCCTGCTCTCACCTCACAGGAGTGTGCTGAAAGGTTTTCCACTAAAGGTCACTGATTTTGATATTTGACACACATTTCAACTCCCAGAGAAACAGAAACACACACACACACACACACACACACGCACACACAATAACCAACAAACACCATGGGATCAAGAGTGTCCATTTTTCAATGAAGTAAATCCCCATTGAAGTACAAAGGCTTTCAGATCAATCACACACACACACACAGTACATGATCGATGTGTGGCTCATAGGCCGCAGAGCTCCACCAATGGCCTATAAAAAATAAAAAAGGCACATCAGCCACTCTAAACTATTTGTTATTGATCTGGTTTGCTGTTGTTGGGAAGGAAAGATGGCAGGTTTAATTAAATCCCCCCCCCCCCCCAACCACACGCATACACACCCACAAAAACACCCTCCTTTCATTTGTTGTGTTTGTTTTGAGGATGTGTCTTCTTTTCCTCTAATCTCCAGGCAGTTTATTGCTCGGGGATCCTTTGTCAATTCTAATTGGTCCTGCTGGTTGGGGTCGCCTTGGAAACCAGTTTAGAAAGTGTTGGTTGGAGGTCTGCCAAAGGTTCTCATATGGGCTACCGTACACACACACACACACACACACACAGACACACACACACACACACACGTGCGCTGTATCAAGTATAGACACGCTGACACTATAAAAAGTGCTATTTTTAGTCTCCCACAGACGTCACAAACATGCCCTCTTCAGTAAACTTCTAATACAGCTCTAATGAACACGGTGTGTTGAGTCAAACATTACAGAGAAGGAAAACACACTTTGAGGATGACCAACATCCAAATAATTCACAAGTTGAATAATTAGGAGGAGGATTTATATGATCTAAATGGAGGATGGGTTGACAGCGAGCGTCACTGTTGCATGCTGTGTCTGCTACAGTCACAAGTCCCCCACAGGCTGAAATCTGTCTCTGTGAGCTTCAGTAACAAGTGACGAGTCTGAGCCTTTGTCAGGGTGCGAGGAGCTGATGACACATGCCGTATGCTCAAACAAGCCAGAGCTTATGGGTTCTATTATATTTGTAGGAATTCAATACAGCCTTCCTCTCCTTTTCAATAACACTGAATTTCATTATCTTTCCAAAAACAGCATCTCATTAAATGCTCGGGCCCACTTTATTCTTTCATGTTTGTCTACTATCTCTTATGAACTTGGACTTGTCAGAGACATAAAAAAAAGGAATGATTAAAATCAAAACAGCAGAGGCCAAAATATCTTGACTGAAGTTTCCAAATACTCTGGATCCTACATTTCCCATAATGCAACTCATCTAGCATATTTTTTTAAGTGCCTGGTAACAGCCAACATCTTTCAAACTGCTCATTTTCAGTTTTTAAAAGCAGAGATATGACATCACTATGACATCATCAGAGTTATTTTTTCAGACACTTGACTTGAGCTGTTTTAACTGTTTTCACATGCAACCACTCCTGACGAAAAAATGACTTTGATGTGCAATACTATCAGTATTATTATTAATATTTTACACACACCTTGTATTGCACACTACGATCTGATCACATTAGTTTGCAGGCTGTCGATTCCATTAAATTATTATTATTTGAGTAAAAGTAAAAGTGAGAATGCTACTTGCTGCTCTAGATTCTGTGGTGTTGACCTTGTGTTGGCAGGAACAGACTCCGGCAGACTGAGCACTGCCTCTTCCAAGCTGGACAGGCTGTGATACTGCAGAGAGACTACAGCCCCGTTCCTCAAGCACTTGCTGAAGAAAAACCAAACACATCACCGGTTCTATCATTGTAAAATAAATACTCCATCAGCAGTATTGTTTATTAGCTAAACTGTATGCTTGAACCACGGTATGAACAGGACTTTGTACAAGGAGTTTCTGAGAACATATATGTTATGATCTAGTCATTGGTCGCAGTAGCATTGTAGTATTATTGCTGTGTGTGTGTCTCTGTCACAAATTTGTCAAGACTCCACTGGTGGAAGGTAACGACTATAAATAAATGTATTTAAGTATAGAAATTAAGTTCAATGTATTTCCATTTTGTGCTACTTAATACTTCTACTCCATCACATTTTAGAGGCAAATATTATGCTTTTTACTCCACTTCATTAAGTATGGCCTAATCATGAATAAATAATGAGAAAACAGACTAAAATAAAATTTAATTTATCCTCTGGGGAAAATTCAGTATATAAACCAGCTTAAACATTTAAGTGATGGACACCAACTATAGTCCAACAATATAATATATATATTATCTTTTATTGATGCTCGTACTTTTGTATTTTAACTTAAGTCCATTTTTTGAATGTATGTCTTTTACTTGTATTTCTACACTGTGGTACTTTTACTTAAGTACATTATTACATGAAGCAAAAACTCTTTCAGTGAATGTATGGGGACCTGTCTATTGTGTTGTTTTGTGTTTTTATTAACACATAATTGTGTCCTTTAATGCCTCGGTCATAATCCTATAGGTCTACAGTGTAAAAAGGGAAAGCTGATGTTAAAGGTATCTTGTCTCTGAAACATGTATTCTGGTATTCAAATTAGGTAGCTTGAGCAGAAACATATAGCATCATTTCATTTGAACTGCTTATTTTGAAAACATACATATGAGGGGTTGTGTGTTAGTGTAAAACATAGTGGATCATGTCTGTGGATCAATTGTCTAGTTTGCTGTTTCTGTCTATACCAAGAAAGGCCCGTCTGCAGGCTGCACCCAGTATGCACTCAAAGTTTTGGTCATGCCTTTGAAATCACATGATGATACATGGAATAGGAACATTACAAAAGGTAAGAAAAATAGTAATAGAAGAAAACAGAAATCAGGGTCAGGGATGCTGTGGGACACTGACCGTGTGGAAGAAAGGCACTTCTCTGATGACTCTACTGGTTGACTGAAGTAAGCAGCAGATTCCTCTGGGACCTCAGCACTTCTTGCTGCAAATGTTGTTGATTACACACCACAAACAGACCTTTTTAAGTTGTGACACAGAAAAACTACAGGGAGAAGTCGGCCAAATGTCTTGTGGAATGCTGTGCTGGAAATCCTACATATACGAACCACTAGGTGGCAGTGAAAGACCTAGTTAAGGTCGTATTATACTGGTCTTATTGACACAGAGAGAAGGTTGCAACAAGGGTTGGTCCATAAAGAAAAGTTACATTGTTGATATTCAGTTAATCTGCGTAAGAGGTACATATAGTACAAAGGAAGGGATTATAGGTATCCTTGTTTTTATTTATCAAGCAAACTTGGTTTGTGCACACCATCACAAGGCTCTCCAAATAATGGGCAAAGCTCTGTCACAGGTGCTGATGTTAAACTAGTTCAAGGTGAACACTGTAGGTGAAATATTCATAACGCACCCCCCTGAGGATTGCCACGCCCGGTGGACTGTTGCAAAAGGGCAAAACTAGTTAGGGTTAGGTGTACTGTCACCTTTCATTGCACATAATTATGCAGGCATAATCAAAAAATAATTGCATATGGTATTTTGAGAGCTATACTGTAAAAACATAAGTGTGATGGCCAACTGTTACCATAGCCAACTCCCTTTAAATCTCCTTCTGTTTGTGAACGCACAGTGAAAAGTAGTGCTTTTGTTGTCCTCACACCATTTACACTCCTAGAGTTCACACTCTTCATAGAGAGATGTGTTGTGATGGTGCCTATGCACACTTAACACATGAGGCTGAAGGGCTCTTATTTCTTTATTCACATATCCTTTTTTAGAACGACACGTTTTATTGTAAGTAAAACTGATTCACATACAACCTGACATTAAGCTTTGAGGCAACAGAACAGATCACAACTTTGTCAAACATCTGACCCTGGAAGGATATTACAAACTAAAAATGTATTATTTTCACCATAATATAGTGTTTTCCCAGTATGTTCCAAGCCCTAAACAAACAGCTGCATAGCTAAAAGTAAGATGTTTAAAAGTGTAGTGTTTATAAGGTGGCAGGACGGAGTAAATTTGTAGCAATCCTGAAGAAGAAGCCCCTTAATGAAAACCTCAGATCCCCAGGGAGTCTTTCTGCACGTTGCAACCCAA